TGGGACAACCTGAGTGTTTGAGCATCCCACCAGCTCAGTGTGACCTTGAATGCCCCATTGAACCCGACTAAACCCTTGGAAAACATGTAAAAGTTCCTGTGCAGCCAGCTCAAGGTTGATGTGTTTCCTGGAAAACAATAGCCATGCTGGAAATGGCAGATCCTTGAGTTCCCACAGCCACACGCCCTCTCCCATGAGGCATGGGTGCCATCAGCATATCTGCATGCAGGGAGCAGCCAGGTGGTTCAAGGAGGGGATGGGGAGCAGGATACAATCAGAGGGTGGCTTAGGGCCCCCCCAGGCTGGGGGTGCCTGGGGCTCCTCTGCCCTACGGAGCCTCCTCCACGTGGGTTGCTGCCAGGGCTAAAGACCAACAGTGCTGCTCAGTGACTTTCATGGTGTATTTTCCTGATGCCAAACCTCGGTTCTTGGCATTGACTCGGGGGTGGGAGGAGTATTTCCACAAGAATGTTCTCTTCCTTGCCCTGCTTCTCTTTCCCCCTTGAACCAAGTGATGCTCGAGGGACACAGTCACAGCTATTTTGTGCTGCAGTGTTTCTCTGGTCACTTGAGCTTTCTCTGGGGGATGCTGAGAACAGAAGCTGTGAATGGTGCAGGCTGGGTGCTTGGTTTAATTCCTGTATGGTAAATGAAAGTCACGCCTGCCTCGGCAACCACATACAATTTTGCTTCTGCTTGACTAATCTGCAAATGCCAGTTTATTAATAGTGCATCCTTCTTTTTTTTCCCCCCCTGATATGCTTGGTCACTCTTATCAGTGCACAGTGTTATGGGAAAAAACCCAAAGCAACGTCGTTTTCAAACTGTGAGTTTCCTTTCTGAGAAGATGACATATGCTACTGCAGGCCAGGGTTTCTAGAGCCAGATTATAGAGTTTCTGTTTTGGAGCCAAAGCAGCAGATTCAAAGTCAGACTGCCACACTGTGAGTCTCGGGGAAGAAGCCGCCAATGCTTTTTGACACCGTGTCTCCTCTCGAATTTCATCTTATCCTTTTAGTAGATCAATAGCACAGATAGGAGAGCTGTAAAATCAGAAGTTGAAAATAAACGTGTTCTGGTTTCTCTTTGTTAGCTGAAATATTACAGAATACCAGAAGAGTCGCTCCTCCTGACCTTCAGGTGCCTGTGGGAGAGTCAGGTGTGTCCCTGCTGTGCGGAGGCTGTGGCAGGGGAGGGGTGATGGAGGATGCCGACACACAGCACACCTGCAGCACTCAGCCCGTTTCCTAAATCCTGCCAGACTCGGGGTCTGGGCAGCTGCCATAGGAATGTTCCACAGGGGAAATCGTGCCCTGAGGCTCTGGTGCCATGCCTCTGCATGCAGAACTTGCTTGGCTGTGTGTCTGTCTGCCCTCTTGTGCATCTGCACTGTGGCAGTAGATCTGCTTGCAGCGCTCTTGCTTCCTGCCACAGGAGTGCTGCCTGCAGCAACTGAGAGAGGAGTGAGGGAAAAACCACTGCAAATGCCAGACAGCACCTGCAGGTGAGAAAAACCTCTTCTCAGATGATTGACTCAATACCAGAGGCATGCAAATGTCCAAGGAAACAGGTCACATTATGGGACTAAGAGGCTCAGAGGGAAGGGAGCAGCCTCTCACTCCAGAGGGAACTCCTGTTCCAACTGTTCCAGTTGGAATAAATGAATTGGCGTCAGGATCTGTGGGGATGCTAATGCCTCAAGTTTAATTCTGTGATTGCTCAGTAAAGCAAGATCTGTTAAAATGAAAAAGATAGATTCACCTTGTTTACCCTGATGCAAAGGCCGAGGTGAGGATATATTTTTGGAGATAGACCATATGTACCACTCAGAGCAAATTAAGAGGAAGCTCTCAGAAAAAGACTACAGAGGCTGTTGTGCTGCTATAGCAACTGCCAATTGTCTTTGTGTAGTAAAATGTAATGCTCTTGACCCAAAGTGGCAATAAATCTTTGCCTTTCCTTCGCCTGATGTCCTGGCTTACTGTAAATGATTGCTATTGCCCTCGCACAGCACAGGCCACCCCAGCTGTACTGGTAGGCACCAGGGAGGAAAGTCTTGATTTTAAGTTGCTTACAGTATTAATAAAAAAATGATTTTGAGAGGGGAACAAGTAAGAAGTCTTTACCCATATATATATTTTTTTTTATTGCTGCTTACATTTTTTGTAAGGATTTAACTTGGAAGACTTCAGAGTAATTCCCATTGCATTTGGAAGGTGTGGATGTGTATGAGAAAAGAGCAGGAAATTCACAGGATCCAAAACTGAGTAATAGTGTCTATGGGCTTGGATTTAGACAAAAACACTGGTGTATCCAGCTTGCTGCCCTTGGCCACTCTGTTCAGCCTGTGTGGTTACAGATGCGGGACCCTTGGGAGGGATGGCAGCTCAGGCACAGTCTGTGCCACAGCACTCTAGGTAGGCAAAAAATGTCAGCAATGCAAGGAAGAAGCAAACAGAACAATTAAGCATGGAGACATTATTAGCTTCTGGGTTTTGCTCTTTGCCATGCCTGCAAGAGAGCAAACAGCACCTGCTTGCTCTGTGGTTGAGAGCCTGTTGCCTTTTCTGTTCAGTGTTCAGCCTTGAGCTGAAGGGAGACCCCTTGGGTGGAAATGTACACAGGTACAGAAAAACTTTTGGAAGGGGTTTTATTTTAAATCTGAGATGAGCGTGGTTTTAGTCTGGCTCCTCCAGCGGGTGTGAGCAGCACGTGGGGTACAGGCAAAGCAGAGCAACCCCTGTGCTGGCTGGCCTTTAGACATGAGCACTTGCCATCTCTCACCTCTTGGAGAAGCCTACCAGTTCAGCTGGTGGGGGATGTTTTACTGCACCCACAACTGCTGCTTCTTCCAAATAATCCGGGACATTGTGCGTAAAGGCACGTGCACGGTACCCAGATAAGCTCAAGGCAAAGGTCTGGTGTGTCAGAGATCAGTGCTTAGTCCGAGCATGCTCTGGATTCGTCTTCGTGCTTTTATGGAGGTTGTCTCACCTCTCCCTACTGGCTATACAATATGCGCTTTTGAAAAGCAGAAGGGTCAGAATTTAATCTGGAATGCCAGAAAGGAGGGTGTCGTGAGGAAGCCTGGTATTTTTGCTTACCCACACCACCTCCAGCATTCAGCCTGTTTGTCACCATCAGAGGAGTCCTAGCATAGCCTTCATTTTAGAGATGACTCATTTCCTCTCCTGTAATGCTCTTACCAGTGCTAATAATACTTCCACAAGTGGAAGTCATTATTACAGAGGACTGCTGATAAACTGGCTCGTCCTACCTTGCCTCTCAGATGGTATCACAAATGGCAGCCTCAATGTTTTGTGTTCTGCTGGCTGGAGAGAGTAACTTTGCTTTCTACCCTGGAATTTAATTAACTTCCAAAGATGTGCCTGCATCCATTTGGAAACTTGGTAGCATTAACCAAATAAACCCACACAGTGTTTTCTAAAAGACATTTGTTCCTTGATCCTTTGTTTAGTGTGAACGGTCTGGGGCAGGGTCTTTGCTGTCTCCCCTGTGCCCTGTGTGTCTGTAGGAGCAGCCAGGAGTGTCACAGCTGGTGCTGATAATAAGACAGTAATGTGATTCATATGCTGAGGGATAAAGCCTGCAAAGGCACCAGCAGTCACTTTTCCAGGCTCTGGTGCTGGATGTAAGTCTATCACTCCCTGCAGCGTGTGCTTTGCTGTAGAGAAAAGGACATGACTTTTGGCTTTTTCCTGGTCCTGACATGTGAATCCTGAATCCTGATGTCTTTCTTTCAATGTGAAGCCATTTTTTAAACGGTTGGTGGGAAAGAGAGGGATGCAATGTGGCTGCTGACAAATGTGGCAGTAGATGATGGTGTTGCTGTTGTAGCATATGGCTAACACCAGCATGGGAAGGATGTTATTTTAAGACCCCTCCTTTGCTAGTGGAAGTGTGAGAAGCAGAACAGCGAGCCGTCTCACACAGCAACTGAGCTTTTGTGGTAGACATCAGTTAACCTGATTTTTGTATTAAAAAAAAAAGGAAAAAAAGGTTTACTTTGTTTTGAAGAGCCTTCTCTGCCTATGTCTGGCTACACTATCTGAAGGGAGGAAGCTGGAAATGGAAAGGAAATGCATCCTTCAGGGACAGCCCAGCTGGTTTTTCTCAGTCCTCACTGGCTGCTGAGAGCCTGCTGCAGGAAAGAGGGTGCTAAGGACCAGAGGATGTCCACACAGTGGGTGCCCTGGGCCTGGCTGGATGGGCTGCACCTCTTAGGGATGCTGGCCAGCTTTGCCTCTACTTCTGTTGCTGAACTGAGAATGCAACATTTCCCCCCAAAAATAGTGTCGCTCTGCTTGAGAGCTAATAAATGGAGCCTTTGCTTAAACCTCTGGTGTCCCAAGCAGGGAACAAAAGCCTTTTTACTGGGGAGTTAGGCAGGAGAACTGGTACTTCATGTTGCTTGTCCAGTTCTCCCTCTGCTGCCTCTCTGAGGATGCCGAGGTTGTCATTTAATAACCACAGGGGTGGTGCATCCCAGAGGGTTTCCTGCAGCACCTCATGCAGTGGGTGGAGTGGGAGCTGCTGGGAATGGGGGAGCTGGTGCTGCACGCAGCTGGGAGGGACACGGCTGGGCAAGGCAGTGATTCGAAGATGGTGGTGGAAAAATTTCTCTTATAGCTATTTTCTTTGAAGGAGAGTGGGTGTGAGGGGTAGGAAGGAAACTTAAAGTTCTCTGGCATGGGGTGGGAGCCAGCTGCCTGTCTCACACTGTCCTGTATTGCTGTATCTCGTCAGCCAACCCTCCTTTTGGTCCCACTTCTGATCAGGTTACCACACGGCGCAGTAAAACCACCGCTTCCTTCGCTGGCTGAGCTAATGGAAACCCCTTTAATAATTCAGCGGGCAAATTCTGCGCTTGGAGGGGTGGATTTTGCAGGAGAAGGCATAGAGATACAGGTGGTTCTTGGGTGGGCTGCATGGGGGTTGGCTGCGCTGACTGACTGCCCTGTGGCCTTTCCTGTCCCCAGATTGTGATGTACATAGGCCAGGTCTCCAAGGACATCCTCAAGTGGCCTCGGCCCCTCTCACCACCTGTGGTCAAGCTGGAAATGAGGACGAATGCGGAGTACGGAATGCCTTCCACCCACGCCATGGCAGCCACAGCCATCTCCTTCTCCTTTTTCATTGCAACCATGAACCAGTACAAGGTAGGGGGTACAAAAAAAGAAGAGGAGAAGAAAAAGAAAATACATATCTGAAAAAAAGGACGTGTCTGCTTCCACCGAGCTACACAAAGCTGGCAAATCCAAAGCTATTGCCACTTTCAGAGGAGCTCTGTATTTTTTTTTCACAAATGTGCATGTATTCTTTCCTGTGGTTACCTGTAGCTGGCCAATAATAGACACAAAAAGAAATTTAGTGGAAATCTCCTTTCTTTAGCTTGAACTGTGGGCAGGCTGCACTGCCATGCCATGGTTTGGTGAGTTCCCCGTACTTTCTCACATGGGGTGACCATGGAGGGAAGGTGCCCAGTGCCAGCATTTTATGCTCATCCCGTGCCCACCAAGTCACTGCTGTACATCAGGACAGGCCAGCTCCCAGGGAAAACAAGGAGCTCTGTACCACCTGACTTTTGTATGAAAGGAAGAGCATCCTTGGAAATCCCCTGGCTCTAACGTGTTAGGCTAACAGCATACAACATGATTTGAGAGCCTGTTTGCCAGAGAAGTAGCAGCAATTTCACTGCACTGGAGCTGTAGGCTGCTTGGGGATGTTTCATCATTATTTTCTCCCATTATCTTTCTGAAAGGTTTATTTCCTGAAAACTCATTTCTCCATGATGATTATTTTCATTTCATTTTATGAATCCAAGCATGCATTTCCTGTACTCCAGCAATAATAACTTCCTGGCTGCATCGTACTTAAGCGTGTTTCTCAGCCCTCTCAAGTGTATTTCGAGGATAAATCCACGTAGCCAAGAGGGCTTGCAGTACAACCAGGGGGGGTCTTGCTGTCACAGTGTCCCTGGGTGTCCCCCCTGCAGTGCAGTGTCCCCTGTGCAGGGAGAAAGGAGGTCACTGTTCAGTGAACGGTGCTGTGTCCTGGGACTGCAGCTCATAGCAGTGGGGATCTCTGGGTTACACTGACATCTCTGAGATGATTTAACTTCCAGACCCCTCTGGTCCCAGCTGTGAAGCAGCAGGCTTTTCTCCTGCCCACGGCACGGGGACAAGTGAGCAGGTCAGTCGTGCCCAAAGCTGTGCTGCCAGCCCACTGCTCCCTGGTCACTGTGTGGTAACTGCCCAGAGCAACTTGACGGTAGGATGGAGACAGGAAGCCATAAGATGGGTTATTTGTCATCCTTGGAAGATCAGATCCATCCTATGTGTCAGAGCTGCCAAGAAGACTTGGTCAGCAGTACCTTCTCCTCCTCCTTAATCAACAAGTGACCAGTGGGACACGCAGCTCTTCACAGGGTGCCTTGCGCTTCTTGGAAGCTGCCGTGGAACAATAAAACTGCTGTCAAATAATTAAATTATTTAATTGCCTCTATTAGGACAGAAAAATCTTCCAGAACATTATGCTCCTATCTTCTCAAGCTGCCCTAATCATCAATTACTGATCTGGACTAGCTCCCAGGCTGCCTGCTGAGGGGGGAGTGAAGTGGGTGTAAATCCTCTGAAGGCTTAGGGAAGAGAGAAAAGTAGTGTTTTGTGAACTGGGAGTGACATCTGCAGCTGGGTCTGGGCTCTCTATTTGGTGGTTGGAATATACCGGGTGAAAGGGTCAGAAAATAGTTGTTATGCTTAAAATTTCCACAGATGCATTTTTGCTCTGACCTGTGGCCACCCTGGTCAGTTGGCAGCCTCTGGCAGAAGATGGAGACTGTGTCAAATTGGGTGAATTAACTTCAGTTTTTTGTATTTTGAGTTGGTTTATTTTTTACAGAAAAATCTCCATTTTGGACTGAAAGGAACCCAGCAGCCCACTCAGTTTCAGGATTTGAATGAGTAGATTAAGGGCTAATATGTTAAGCTTATTCTTTACCAAATGTAGGAGGGTTTTTTTTTTTCCTTTTTAAATGTTGATTTATTCAAATGCTTCTTTCCAGGCATCTTGGAGAGGGAATTAATCAAAAACAACTTCATAAGAAGATGATTAGACCTTTTAAGTGTCACGGGGATGAGCGGTCCTGACTGCTCTAAAAGCCAGATTGTGGTTTCAGCCCAGACATTGATTCTCCCCTCTCAGCCCACTGCTCAAGGACTATTGATCACACTTCTGCTCAGGCTCTGGGGCTGTCACAATCCCCTCGGCTGAGCTGAGGCTGCAGTGCAACCTTGGACATCGCTTGTACAGGCTGTGCCTTTTTCCTAAAGGTCTTTGGCACTAACATGCTAAAGGTAGATACTGTAAGGGAACAATTCTGCAAATGCCGTCTGTTTCCCAGGATTCCCCACACTGAGACTAGATTTTTGCAAAAGCAGCACGACAGGTAATGAAATTACCTTCTAGCAGGATTGCACATTAGGTGATGTGGGGTCTCTGCTGAGGTCACAATAATCTCTTCAGGAAAGTACAGCTCAGGAGCCACCTCCCAGCATGACATCCTTAGGTCAGTCCGGCTGCTTGGTGTAATGGGTGTATTTATTTTATTTTTTTTTTTCCCCTCCTTTTCACAGTATCCATTTGAACTCGGCCTGGTAGCAGCGTTCGTGTTTTCGACCCTGGTGTGTCTGAGCAGGCTCTACACGGGGATGCACACAGTCCTGGTAAGGTTGTGCCTCCAGCTCTGCTTTCCTACAGCAATTCCCATCTCCCACTCTTCAAACAATGGGTGACCTGCCTTGGCCGTGCCACCACAAGGGATATAAAAGTTGTGCCACTGAATTTCAGGCTGTACATTCAGAAAAGGTGTGAGGGAACCCTCAGGCTATTGCTATTTGAGTGCACAGGGGAATGGTTTGTAGTGTTTGGGAGGCAGAAGCGTGCGGAGGTTGAGGAGCCGGGTGAGGTTGGGGTGGCATCTCAATTGTAGTTCTCTATTTTGAAATTTTAATTGTGAGGAATGCACTTGGGTAACTGAGGCTGTTCCTTAGCTAAGCCTTTTGTGCAACAGTATCACTGTTTTCAGCGAGAAATACCCTGGGCTGGTTTAGCCTGGGAGTGTCGGGGCAGGAATAGCAGGTTGGTGAGTCACGAGGGTAAACCATGGCAAGTGAGCTGCCCTTGGGGGCCCAGGGGACAGCAGGTCTCCTGTTACCATACAAGGGGCAATTATAAAAATATCATTACAAGTTTCTTGTTTTCAGCTGGAAGGAAAATAATTCTCAAAGGACTAGGATGCAGAAATACTTTGTCCGAAAATAATCATAAAATATCTGTGACTTTGTGTGACAGATTGGTTGGGCACAGTTGCTTGGAGACATCAGTCCTGTTTTAGGAACAGATTTCAGTGTACCTGTGATAACACAGTAACTGGTTCCTTCCTGACAAGAGCAAGCACTATTTATCCATTAAATACAGTGATCAAGGTGGTGGTTCAGCTTCCCAAGTATGGATAGAAAATCCTGGCTACTTCCCTGCAGGAGTTTGATATGCACTGTTGGTTGCATGTGCATAAACAATTTAATCTTTTTTATTAAGCAGTAATTATGTTTGCAATGAGACTTGGTGACTGAAAGAAAGAGAGCCCTTATGAGATTAGGGTTAGCTATAAAATATAGCTTGACCTTCCTTTTCAGGCCTAGTGGATCAAAACAATATCTTACATCGAAGCTGGGGACATCCTTTCTTGGCTAGTGACCTTAAGTCAATCACTAAAAATTCTTTGCATACTTCTCTTGCTGGTCCATTATAGTGAAAGACCCCACTATATTTAGATGGATTTTAGGGTAAAGAAGAACAAGTCCTTTGTGCTTTTGACATGGTAAAAAAGGGCTTTAAAATAACCAAAAAAAAAAAAGAAAAAAAGCTCCTTAGTTGACGTGTGAGCAATGCTGCCTTTCAAAAGGGCAAATATTCCTTGCTGGGTTCTTCTTCCTGTATGTGCCATGGTGGGAATGGAGCTGGGGAAAGGCCCAAAGATCGCAACCCAAATGCTGCCCCTCTCTCTGCAGCACATTGTGCCGCCCACAGTGACTGGTTCTGCTGTCCCACCTGCAGTGAGTGGTTCTTTGGGGGAACAAGTGCAGTTCAGAGCCATTTCCCACACTTTGAGGGATTTTTAACTGAGGTCTTAATACCAAGGATATAATTATGTATTAACCATCATATTTTAGTGAGGTAAATGGATTGATAACATATATCCACCAACCTGGTGTAAGTGAACTTTTCCTGTTTGAGGAACCAGGAGTGAGAAGGAGGGTTGCATTGTGCTTTGCTACAGCTGGAGCCCAGGTGTAGAAGCTTGTCTTCTGTAGTCTCAGCCCTGCAAATCAGTTTGTATTTCAGCACCAGTGGTCTTGTTTTTGAATCAGGAGTGGTCTCAGAAAGCACAGTCGTGTCAGTAGAAGAGATGTCACCAATGAAGACCTGGAGAGGCAGTAAGCTGGTATGAGAGCTATCTGCATCATTATAGCTGTACCAGAATGAATACTATGCTTAGGGAAAAGGCAATAAACACCCATTGCCTGGGCTGTTACTGGGATAACATCACCCAGCCAGAGAATGGGGTGGCAGCAATGCACTTGCACTGCTTAGAGGTGAAATAGTTGCAACAACCCACCTTCACCACCTCAACACCAGAATGTCCCACGTGTGGAAAAACAGGGGAAAGGCAGGGCCATTTCTTTTAGGTCTTTAAGTGATGGAATATGAAGGCCTGGCAAAGAGGGAATCTGGAATTACCTGGAAAGGCCAAAGCAAAAATCTGGACGCATTTTGAAACAGCTAATCTGTAACGTTCTAGGGGTTATTTTTATGGAACAAAAAGCAATTGGAGACAATAATACTGGTGGTTGTTTCATTTGCCTTTCTCATCAGAGAACTGTGTCTTAGAAAATATCCCTTTGCGTGGCATATTAAAACATTGGCCCAATTTTTGGTGCCTGCCTCGGTGCAGTGAACAAGCTTTCTTATCTCAGCTGATGAATCCAATCCCTCCAGAGCCACAGCTGATGTGCTGAGAACCTCACTGGTACTGCAGCTGCCCTGAGTTACAAGCAACAATTCCCTGTGTTGGCCAGCACTGTGGGCAGGGTATAGGGAGGAGTCAAAAGGTCGCTTTTTTTGACCAAAAATAAACGTGCAGGTTGTTTCTGTAAACAAAGTCAATGGTTTTCCCCCCGAGATACACTGATTCAGTGTTGGTGCATTTATTACTGTTACAACCTGCTCAGGAGGGGGTGTTAGTGAGCTTCCACCTTGCCCCTTTCCTGTGCTGTATGGCAGTTTTTTTAATAGTACCATTAATCCTGAAATTATCTTCAATATTTTAAAGGTGATGAACAAAGAACGTATTCACGTTACTTTACAGTCTGTGTAGTACAGTCCTTGGAGGGGTAAAATCAAGTAACCTTTAGGAATGGGAACAAGATATTTATGTTTAGGAGACTGAGTGGTGTTTCACACTAAATGAAAACATGAAGGTAACTCAGGCAATAGGTGACCATGCACAAGACAGAGTGGGAAAAGTGTGATTTTTGCTTTGATTGGCAATATCGGGGAAGGTGCTTGAGTGCCACCATGTTTGGTGGTTTGTGCTGGTTTGATACCCTGGGGGATTTTGTGAGTGTTTGCAATTCCAACTGTAGATTCAGCGGGAAGAGCATAGGAGGGTCTCACCTTCAGAAAACTTTTGCAATCTTAAACCAAGCTGTGCTCTATGGCTTAGCAAAATAAAAAGGCAGACCAGTGCAAGAATGGCAGGTGGTGACGGTACCCACGGACCCTGATGACAGGCAGGGAGCATCTTGAAGCCCCCAGTCCTGCATCCCAGGCATCACCTGCAGCTAGGGGATTGCCTCTGTTGTTCCTCTGTACCCGGAGCACGGCAAAACAATCTGAAGGAGTGCAGCATTAGAAACCCCACAGTGGCCTGTTCTTAGGGCAGCAAAGCAAACTGGCAGCTCTCCATCTCAAATCAACGGGAGCAAGGCCTCGCTGGTGCTGACAAGGGGCAGATGTTTGGTGCTGTGTGGGAGCAGGGCCAAACTGCAGAGCACTGGGGGGGCCTTCTGGGGTGGTGGATGAAACCTGTAGAGGACTTGTCTGTGCTGAGGAAGCTGGAGCATCCCAGCAGGGGAACAGGAGGTTTTAAGCTTTGCCGGTAGTACTGCACCTTGAGCAAAATTCGTGCCTGCCCTTATTTAAAAATTCCTTTATAATTGTGGGCTTGGCGAGAGGCTAATCTGTTTACACAGGCGTACAGGAAAGAATGTGCTTCCTGGGAGTGCTAACAGCAGCTCCACCCCCGGGAAAAACTCGGGTCCTGCTCCAGGGGGCACAGCAGGGAGAGTCCAGAACAGCAGTGTTTCTCGCAGAAATCAGAGCCAACCCTCCCCTTCCCATCTTCTCCTTAGTTTAACAGGCAGAGGGGGAAATAATTAATTCACTGCTAAATGCCTGTATAAAGTGTTGGTCTGGAACTCATCTGCCTCCTCTGTGTGTCCAAAAAATCAAAGCTGTCCAAGCACACCGGGATCGAAGGGAGTCACGACAGACGGTTGTGGCTGGGTGTGTCCTGAGCTCTCCAGCAGCTTCTAGTAAGCTTCTAAGCTCCTAATATATGAGAAGCCCATATATCAGTCGATAAAGGTTAAAAACAGAATAAACCACTGGCCTCCAAACTTTTTTGTTCAGTAAAAAATTTTGAACATACACCCCGTATCCATACATTTATATTTACTTAGGATTTGTTTACGTGGACTACTGTACTGATACAAACGTTATAAAACATGCACAAAATAGACTTTAAACATGTAAGAGAGGGGTAAAACAAACACTGCTTTGAAAAAATACGTATATTTTATTTAATTATTAGTGGTGCAAAAGGTATGTTCTTCCCCTAGCCCCACTAATTGCCTTGTGCACCCAGTTTGGAGACCCCTGGTACAAGCCACTGGTTGAGGCAGAGCTGGTTATCTGGGTCCTGCTTGAAAACTGCAGGAGCTGTGTTAACTGTACAGGGGCTGAATGGGAAGGCTAATAAAATTCAGAAGACTTTAATCAGGTTTGTAAATAGAGACTGTCTGCAACTGGGTTGGGAACCGCTGGAGTTGGCTGGGTAAATCTGAGCAAAGCCTTTGTTAGGGAATGATAATGTTTGGTTACATCTCTTTGATTGGAAAAGAAAAGCGTGTGAACAGCTTTTGAGTTCACTCCTTGATCACCCACAGAGGGGTATTTAGAAGGACTTTTTCTTCTAATATGAGGTGGACAAATAGCAGGGTGGGAAATAGAGGTACAGGATGGGGATGGGATTTCTGAACATCAGTCCTGGAAGCAGTCCTCAGCTCTTTTGTGTTGAGGTAGTTACTTAGTGTTGGGCCAAAACATGCTTTGTGTGTTAAGTTATTGTCTAAAAATGGATGTAAAAAGATGAATTGTTATGAAAAATGGACACCTAATAGTATTTTATATACTTGACATCTGTGAACAGCTTTGTGTATTTCCATGGCTATCCTCATGTTATGGATGAGGGAATACATGTAAGTGGAAATTTGTATTAGGAATATGCAAAAATGGCTCTTGGAGTTGCTTAAAACCAAACATGTCGTGAATATATTGCCTGGAAGTTGTAAACAGCTGAAGTTCAGCCATACTGGAGTAATGCATTTCCCAGAATATCATTAAATATTTCTCTTGTGGAAAAAGTCCCCTCGTTCCTGCCCAACTAAAAGTGAAGTTTGCATAAATAATTCATTTTCAGACTGTGACCAACCATGGTAGAATTCAGCTGGCATGACTTGGTGAAAAAGATGCAATCCTGAGAAGAGGACACTGCTGTCTGTGACTAACTTCAGCTTTTGGGTTGTATTTTGTGGCTAGAGTACTAACTGCCGCCTCTGAGAGCAGCGCAGGGAAACTTGTTTTATTGCTTTTTACCTGGCTGCTCTCGTACACACACGGCTTTTGTCTTCTTTCCCAGCTTTGTAGCTGGCAACAATCGAGTTCTCAAAACACCTTATTTGCCTCTGTTAATAAATTAGGGTTTAACTATGCGCTTGCTTCAGGCGCTGTACTGAAAGCCGGACTTCAGTGGCTTGGGCAACAAATTCCCTCCCGATGTATTCCTGCCCGGCGGTGCCTACCTCTTGGCAAGGCTGGCAGAAATCAGGGCACACACACTCACACCACGTCCCACAGCTCTGCACTTTTCATCCCTGGAGCTCGTGTTACCGGGTTGGGAGATGGGAGCTTGCCTCTGACAAAGTACAGCATCTTCCCGTTTATGCAAAGCAAGCAAGTGATAATCCTACTGATGTGATGAAATTGCTTGTAGGATAATGGGAGGGGAAGGGTTTGTGTGAAGGCAGCTTACTCCGAGGTTGTCCCTGAGGTGGAGCTGTGTGTGTGCCTTTTCCATTGAGGTCGTAGGTGAAGAGTGCCCTTAAAACATGGGAGGGGGTGAGGAGGAGAATTTCACTTTTTCAGGGGAAATATGTGTGTCCATAGATACACGTGTATCTCTGTATATCTGGGTTGGGTTTTGTTTAGCACAGGCTACAGGTTGTCCCTGCATATGAATAGCGCCCTTCACTGTGAATTCAGTGTGTTCCTCCACCACTGGGCACCCACCAATGCAGATATTGGTATTCTATCATCACCTTGTTTACCTTCCAGGTCTCACAAAGTTCTTAAATGTGATTTCTTTGCAGGATGTGATCGGCGGAGCACTGATTTCGGCCGTGCTGCTCGTGCTCTTGTATCCTGCGTGGGACATGATAGATCACTTGCTGTTAACTAGTCCCTTCTGCCCACTGTTTTCCATAGTTGTGCCTCTTGTCTTATGTTACAACTACCCCAAACTAGACTATTACAGCCCTACTAGGGGGGACACCACTACTATCTTAGGAGCAGCAGCCGGAGCAACAGTGGGATTTTGGTTAAACAACCAGTACGCTGCACCAGTCTATGCCAGCAAAACTTTTCAGCTTGGATTTCCTCTGATCACCACTAAAGTGGTGGTTGTGCTAGCCAGGTTCCTTGTAGGCATCTTAGTTGTTCTGCTGACGCGCTGGCTCATGAAGAACGCGGTCCTTGGCGTGCTGAGTTATCAGTACAAGTTTCCCATCCGTGACCTGGAGGCCCGGAGACGACTGGAAGTTGAAGTGCCCTATAAGTTCATCACGTACTCCTCAGTTGGCTTCACGGCTACCGTGATTGTGCCGCTGCTGCATGAGCTGTTGGGGCTGCAGTGAGCTCAGCGCCTTCCTCACCGAGTGACGGGCGGCACCACCACTTCAGAGACGCGAGAACTCCATCACGGCTGGTGGCTTAACCAAAAAGTGTTTTGTGCCTTTCTGTGCACTGGTGTGGTGGGTCGACTGTGGCTGGATGCCAGGGGCTCACCAAAGCCTCTCTGTCACTCCTCAGCTGGGCAGGGGAGAGAATATAAAAAGAGAGGTCGTTGGTTGAGACAAGGACGGGGAGAGATCTCCCAGCACTTACAGTCACAGGCAAAACAGACTCAACTTGGGGAAATTAGTTTAATTTATTACCAAACTAATCAGAGTAGGAAAATGAGAAATAAACCCAAATATTAAGAACAACTTCCACCTACCCTTCCCTTCTTCCCAGGCTCAACTTCACTCCTGAATTCTCTACCTCCTCCCACCCACCATCACAGGGGGATGGGGAATGGAGGTTACAGTCAGTTCATCACACGTTGTTTCTGCTGCTCCTTCCTCCTTGGGGTAGGATTCCTTCCAGTCCTCCTCTGCTCCAGTATAGGGTCCTTCCCATAGAAGACACCTCTCCAAAAACTTCTCCGGTGTGAGTTCTTCTGTGGGCTACAGTTCTTCATTAACTGCTCCAGCATGTGTCCCCTGGGGGGTCACAAATCCTGCCAGGAGCCTGCTCCAGTACAGGCTTCTCACAGGGTTGCAGCCTCATCCCCCTGCCCCCGTGTGAGATCTCCACAAACTGCAGGTGGGTCTCTGCTCTACTAAGGACTTCCATGAGCTGCAGGGGTACAGCTGCCTCACGTGGTCTGCACGACAAGCTGCAGTGAAATCTCTGTTCTGGCACCCAGAGCGCCTCTTACTCCTCCTTCTTCAGGGCTCTTGGTGTCTGCAGAGTTGTTCCTTTCCCACATCCTCGCTCCTCTCTCTGGCTGCAGTTGCACAGGGTTTTTTCCCCTTTTTAACTGTGTTATCCCAGAGGTGTTGCCGCTGTTGCTGAGGGGCTCAGCCTTGTCCAGCACTGGTTCTGTTGGACACAAGGGGAGCTTCTAGCACCTTCTTAGAGAAGCCACCCCTCCCTACCATGACCTTGCCACACAAACCCCAACTGGCCAACTTGGAGGGGTCATGGGAATTGCTGGGCACAGATAACTTTGGGTTAGAAATTGCTGCCTCTGCTGTGTCCTGTAACTAGAGACCCTTGGTCCAGGTGGCTGAAGATGACAAGCACAGAGCCAAAATTCCTCCCAGAGTGGCAGCAGTGGCTGTTTTGCCATGGGGCTGGGGGTGCCAGGGAGTGAGGCTGTGCCCTCCCTGCCCAGCTGTGGGCCTGCTCCTGCTGAAGCAGCAGAGCAATCCAAGGAAGGGCTCAGGTTTGGGGCATGGGAGAGCAAGTGACTGGTGGTGTGGGGGAAGAAACAACCATCCAAGAGCAAAGTGCCATCATCAGGCAGAGCTCACGCTTTCTGATGGCACTGCCAGAGCTGGCTAGTTCTGGGTGGATGGTTTTATCCCTTAGAGTTCAAAAAAAACCCTCCAAACATAAACCGCAAGGAAAATCTAACACAAAACATTCTATGTGATTTGTAACAAGTTTATCTTGGATATTAGTAAGAAAGCCTCCACTGAGAGATCATTTGCCCACGTACAACTGAGCAGAGTTATTACCACAACACTGATGTTTGTATTCAAACTGGTTAACTCAGATTAATCTCCTCTGTCTAAGGGACAGGGGAAAGTCCTTCCTGTCATGCAGGGATGACAAGTAGTGTCCACAAACTGCATTGTGGAAGGAGCTGAGTAGTGACTCTGGTGACTGCAACATGTGGTAATGGTAAGATGCCATCGTTTTCTGGTGCTGCACAGCATCACAGTTGGTCTTCCATGCATCCTGCAATACTGTGTGTACACTTGTAGAACAGCAGATTAGGAGTGTTCATGGGAGGATCATCCCTATAACTCAGGCTGCTTATTTAAAAAAATATATATCAGCTGTTAGACCAATGAGCTGTTGAGAAATACAGTGGTGAATGTGGTCTGCTTGGCTGGAAATAAAAATGTTACCATGCTGTCGCTGCAGAGCTCCAAGCATGGCCCCCGTGCCTTTCCTGGCAGAATGTACTGTGAGAGCCAGCTTTTTAACCATGCACGCTTGTCTTCCTGGCTGCAAGGAAAATGAACCTGAAGAATGTAAAGGAGGTTTCTGTGCCATCAGTTGACTGCTTGGATAAATGTAATCAAGTTCCAAAACGGTACCTGGGAGTTCTTCTGAGGAGTGGGAGCCACTCAGGAGTGAAAGGGCTGTGCCGCTTTAAAACCCAGGGTGTCGATCTTCAGAAGAAATGCAGGCAGAAATTTTAACCACTTTTAGATTTGTTCAGGCTGTGGATAAACTGTTTTATATCGGGTTGTGTGGACTTCACATGTGCATGCCAACAGCTTCAGCGAGCCCTTCAGCAGGGCTCATGCCCAGTCACACTTGCCCTTGGGTGAGTGCTGGACTCCGGCCACCAAATCCATGGGGTTCCATCCTCAGCCTCTCTCCCTCCTACACGCCACAGAAGCGCTGCCATCAGGCTTTAAAACACCTTTAAACCCCCTGTGTTAAGAGTGCTGTATGATGTACAGCTGCAGTGCAGAGCTGGAGCCCTGTGGAGGGGCCACATCGCAGTGGATGGGACCAAAACTGGGAAAAAACTTGGCAGCAAGATGGGTGTTTAAGCTGGGGGATGAATCAGTCCCAAGAAAGGCACAGTTTGACAGGGACATTCATGCAGCTTTATGTGTAAAATTTCTGTTCTGATTCACATCTATTTTGTGCTACAAAGATTTTATAAATTATATATAAATGCTGCACAAGTATTTTTATAGTATTAACCTGCATGTGATTCATGCAATAAATGCAAACTGTATTTGGTTCAAATTTTAAAATATACCTATTTTGCAGAGTTGGGTGTTTGTCTGTTCATTTTTGTGTCCTCTATTGCTACTTGTAAATGACTGATGTGAGGGGAACGAGTCCCAGTTTATACAGATTCCCAAGCGCAACCACGCGCCTCTCTTCCCAAGCTGTCCCATTGGTGGCCCCTCGTCTCCTGCTCAGTCTAGCTGAATTTTTGCATTCATTGAGCAGCCCAACAAAGTTTTGTGGCCAAGGATGTGTATTTGAAACCAGGTAGGGCCATATTGTCCTACCAGCATCATGCCCTGCCTGGAAGTGGTATGGCCCTGGGCCCCAAGTGCCCACAGCTGATGGGGGTGAGCCCGATTGCTGCAACAGTTATGCAGTTTCTGTCATAGCAAGTACATTGTACTAGAGCAAATGTACTAAGACGTAATAAAGAAACAGAACTGGGTTTACAGGGGTCCAGATCTTCAGAAGTTTCTAAGATTATTGGCTTGCTCTGAAATATCTTGGTGTTAGCTCCTAAAGTAATTCTTGTGGAACAGTCATTTAGTGCAAATCTTAATCACCGCTTTTGTTGTTATATATATTTTTTTTCCCCTAGAACTTGCTCACCTTGATGTGTATCCAGTTCCTAATTGCCTGGCTTATATGGATATTTCTAGGTAAGACTGTGTTTTTTCTTGGATTTGTGAAATACACATCAAACACTCCTGTGGAACAATGACATTCACTGGTATCTTACTGAGTGGGAGTGGGGGCAGGAATTGGGCTTTGGGATGTGAAAAGACTGATTCTGAGAGTTAGAGCAGAGAG